TATGTAGAACTTACATTCAAGTTTGTAATACTAGTTTTACTACCTTTCCATTTCAATTATACATGTTGACTTCAAATTGATTTCCCTGTGAAAATAACAATCAAATTTATTTGTAAATAAAAAATTAAATTATTAAAAAAAAATATCTCTTGACAATCATAATAGTTTGACAGAGATATTGTGTGAAAACTAGCTGTAATTGTACACTGTAGTTGTACACTTGTATTGACATTGGTATGTATCAGGATCTGATCTACATCCTGGACGTTGCAACAGGATATGTCCGTGGTGGTACACCATACAGATCTCAGGTTTGTGTAGTAATGTACACTGGGTGTAACATTGTAATGAATACCAGTATTTGTAAATTATAGTAATGTTCCTTAAACTTTTGAGTGCCCTTGTCAACTTTTAGGACATCTACAAAATGATTTTGAAGGGTTATGGGAGTCAAATAACTTACAAGACAGACAGTAAAAAAAAATATATTGATAAATACAAATCAAAGGTGGTAAAAATGACACTGTATTTGTTCTAGTAATAACGCTTGAAGTGGGAGGGTCGTCATCTACACACGCGCATGAATTGAGTTCCAAACGACGATAACAACACTCACGAAAAATGCAAAGCGTCATGGGTAGACGCTTGTTTTTTAACAGTGACAGGCTATCGCCATCTAACGTATGCTTTCGCTTTTATGCATGTTTATCTAAGGTCAAAGTAATTCACATTTTAATGATCAAATGCACAATAAATTTAATTTGTGGTTACTGTGTACTTTAGTGATGTGCTTGTAATAAAGTGAATATGGTAAGTGTTTGTAACTATGGTTACATGCGTTTAAGCTCAGATTTCACTGATCAAAGGAAATCATGCAAGAAAATGCAAATTTTTTGTGAGAATATAAAAGAAAACAACCTGTTATGGTTCTTATCAGATTGTTTTTCTAATGTCCTTGTTTCTATTTTATACTGCATATTTAGCTTTAAAACAGTGTATCAGGTTAATACCTTGGTGCTCACTTGTGTCCTGCAATCCCAGTGATCAGAATAACTTTGATTTACATCCAAGTGGAACCCCTGGACAGTATGAATTCTATATCATGTGCATATCACCATTGAGTGATTAGAAAACCTGCATATCTCTGTATCTTCCTTCGGTAATATCATCATTACCGAGGATTCATAAGATAAGAGTATATTTTAGGCAAAAAATGATTGTGAATGTTTGTCTGTAGTGTACTAACAACTAAGAAGATTCTTCAAAGAAACGGGGGATAATCAATATAGCAGACAAAATAACCGGTACACGACATGAATCATGATTACTCATATCATAGTGCACACTGTCAAAGATCCATCGTAGCCAAGCACCCCAACCCAGAACGTAAACACCTACTAAGTGTACGCATTAAAGCGGATATATCCCGGCAACGATTTCAACAATAAATCGTTGTTACACGTCGTGGAACATGATAACTTTATACCAATACTATTACATACCAACATGTTGTGAACATTGCCAACACAACACAGTACACTCAACACTCAACACACGGTAACACACTGTAACACACTTGGCAAAGTCGGGCAGTGTAGCCCAACGAGTATCAAGCCACGAGTATGCACTGTTCATCGTCGTAAAATTTACAAGATTTGAGATTGTACTTACCTTTCATTGATGGGACGCACTCTTACTGCAACCTTTACAGAAGCCATTCTAGTGGGTGTAAGTGATAAATAAAAGCAGTCCTATAAATATTGACCAGTAAAGTCAACAGCCGACTTCTGCGTGTCAGCCATGTTCCTGTCACATGATGCATTTGCTAGTTGCGCCGCTTGGGGCGCACTTTCAGGTAAAACTTCGGTTGAAACTCATCAACAACTCAACTTGAATAAACAAGCTTTTTTACAAATGGTATTTTCATACCTTGTTCGTTTATATTTTTCACCGCATATTGTTATTTCGAACACGAAATTTTATTTACAAAAGGGATTATTTGTTCAACCATGCAATGTACTATAGCAAATATTACTGTATGTGGTCGCATTGGAATCCCCGGATAATGACGATTGCCTTCGCCGTGTCATATTGCCGTGCTTGATTGAACCATGTTGGCTCCCATAATATTTGTTTCACCTATATTACAAGTAGTATACAATGGTTTACTTTCGTCAAATTTGTTGTTTTTTTGTTTAATGTGGTACAAATTTGAAAAATTCGTGTACGATAAGTGGAATATGCCTACTAATTTTCCAGGTAGAAATTTTTCGGGATAAAATAATTAAATCTTTCATGTATTAATACTGTATTATTAAAACACAATCATCAAAACAGAATGTGCCCTCTATCGAAGATTGTTATACTTTTTTTATCCAAGTGATGTGCAATTTCGTTTTTTTTTCCAGTCCATGTCGCATTCTATTTGAGTAGCTCAAGAGATGGAAATAAACAATATTTCACGACTATTGCAGTTCATCTACATTTTGGCGATAATATTTTCCAAAATAATCAATGAGGGCGCTGTCCTAAATATTGCGCCACCATCGGCGTTGGCTACAGTACATGCACTCAATATTGTAAACACATATATACACTATCGTGGAGCGAGATCGTACAAGCAAAATATTTTAAAACCTTGTCATATATTGCCATTTTAATAAAATTCAGCATTTCAAACATTGATTTTTTTAATTACCGCAATGATTCGATTTTACCTTAGAAATAAAGTAATTTTGCTCGCTCCATCCAATGGGTCCATGTGTTAAATTGTAGTTTCATCGTCAGTACCCTAATCGTACTGTTTCTCAATAACGACTTTTATACTGCATCAAACAACCTGAGCTGGGCTGGATAGGATGTAGAAAAAGATATATTGTTGCTCAAACTATCATCACCAATCTTCGGAGAGTGCATTTATACCGTGAGAAAATGAGAAAGACCTCAAAGACAGAATAGAATATGTCAAGCAACTTCTTCATGAATAATCAAAAATCCAGGAACGAACAAACTAGGCTATTCAAACAATTAATGTGTGACCTATGACGCGGGGAAGTTATTTTTAGAAAGCGAAACACTAAGTGTAAGTAAAAATATCAATCATGATTTTCTTGCGGGAAATCGAATTAACATTTCCAACAAAAATGATTAATATTTATTTTTCAAAGTAGCCAATCGGGTGTACACATATACGTGTACATTTCAGTGTCATTCTCACGTTGTCATACACATTCTTTTATGCTGTAATAACTACACAATAAATAGTAATAACTAGTTTGCATAACCGACTTCCGATCAAATCAGTATCAAATCTAAAAAAAAAATTCATAACAGTTTAAAATTACGTAAACGAAAACCAATGCTGTTGTCAAGTGGTCAGACGCCGGGTGATGTGTGAAATTTGAATGTATTATATATGTTCGACAAATCATAAAGTCTCAGCCAGATTTTATGTTCCTGGCTATTCGCATAGTTACGCCTGTATTGCATTCACACACGGCGAAATAAAGGCTCTTTCATTTGTTGTCAGGCATAATGCTTCATGTCGAAATTCGTCACGGCGCAGGATTGTTGTCGGGAAACGCTGAATGCACTGTAACATATGGGACTCTCCTAAAATTGACATTTATAGATGGAATTAGTACGCGGGCCCTTATTCCGACTTATATGATATCCTAGAATGAAGATCCTGCCTATTGCTATATCTCTAAATACATGCATTCCCGTGTTGCATTTGCAGTCACTGTGGTTCAGTTTACAAGGCAACAAGCAGACAGCGCATTTTACGTGGGCATTTAACTGTCTATGTGACTACGTGTTAACTTTCCCATGCAATTTTACTTTTGTCTTTAATTTCTTAACACCTAGAGCTAAAATTCCAATGTCATGCACTTAACTAGACCATATTCACACTTTTAGGCACGCCACGTCGAGTGATGCAAGAAATGTCTACCCTACTAACTTAGTACTAAGTTTCCTTATTAGGCAACCAATCGCATTTACTTAATCTGAGCATCATGGTGACGTCATGAAGTAAAGTGATTCTGCTTATAAAAAGCGTGTATACAGTATATATAAAACTCATACAGACACTAGACTCATAGTAGGCATTTTGCCATCGCCCACAAACATTGTACTTCAATATTTGTATATTTGATGTCTTCACCCAAATAAACATCCAAATTAATTCTGTCAGCCTTTTTACTATTACTCTACTCATGTGTTTCTGCATTTATTATTACCGACAATTATAATGTAGTCGGTGAAATTGAAAATTATATATTTTCGTCACACTTTCATTATAGTTATACGTTCATGACATCAGGATTTCGAAATTCCTGAAGAATAAAAAATTGGGTCATCGGATAATTTTTCGAGATAGTAAAGTCCAAAGTCCGAAAAGTCATGAAAAATGTTTACAAACGATTCTATAGTGAGATTATTTTATTTTACCCCAAAATGTTGCTAGGGGACATGGAATGATTATTATTATGGATACGAATTCTAATAATGTTAAAATATTTTGACAAATTTACATACAGTTTAATCAGTTTCCATTAAGATACTAGTTTTCTAATGGGAGTTCTCTCCCACAATGCAACTTGAACGCATTCTCAGTATAGAAACAAAATTGAATTCGGTTAAAACTGTCATAATTAGTGTTCAGTAATAATCATGTAACTCATGCATTCGATTTCCCCTCTTTATTATTCTAACTTTCCTATTAGTTTTGCTCCCCTTCGAAATCCCCTCACTTTTTCAGTGTGGAAATTTATTCTAGAACCGCGACTCGGATTATTGAGACTATGCATCATGTACTCGTAATTACTTAGGTGCCTGCTATAAATTAACAGCAGTGTTGGACTGTTGTCAAATGACGTCAAATGTCAAATTCACTTCGACGTACCATATTCTTCCTTGTAAAGATGCATCAACTCAACTGGAAATCACACACCAACACTATCCAAAACAATATCATGGCTCTGTGGGTTGTCACGTAATATGAAAACATCACTAATAAAAGAAACAAAAAAACACGCAACTTTTTCTCATGTCATTGTAAAAGCAATTTGCTAATAAC